GTAAAAGATTAATTTCCAAGGATTAATTAATAATAAAAACAATTTTATTAATTAATAAAGATTATTTCATTTTCTAACAATTAATCCAATTACTAATAAATAGATGAAATTAAATTGATTAAATCTTAATTCCGAATCTTAACCCATTTTAAATTACCAATTCATAATATCAAACAAAACATTCATCATCATTAAAATCTTCAAAAACATATCAATCATCAACAAAGTAAAATTTTATTAATAAAAAGTTCAATAAAGATTACAATAAAAAGTAGAGTAAAACTTACCGTGCTTCAAAGACTTGAGAATTAACTTAAGATGAAGAAATTGAACCACACAATTTTAATACAATATTTAGAAATAAAAGTGAAGATTTTCTTTTGCCCTAAAAAGGGGAAAAACCGATGGAAGCATGGGAGAAGGGGAGATCACATGGGAGAAGGGGAGATCAGGCGCTGCAATTTATAGAGGAGGATCGCCGACTGGCGAGCAGACCGGCGGCCGCCAGCCAGCCCGCCGGCACGCCGCTGGAATCCACTGGAACCTTCTCACCGCTGGTCGCCGTTGACAGGCGGCCGCCTGTCAGCCCGCCAGCGCTCTCCTTCGTTGTCTGCTGAGCTTCTCGCCGCCTCCGCCTTCTGACTGGCGGCAAGGCAGGCTGCCGCCGGCCAGGTCGCCTGTCAGGCCGCCAAAATCTGCCGATGCTACCTTGCTCAAAATTTCGTTCCAAACATTTTTTCCTTCTGCACCGACTTCTAATTCCGCACCGTTTGTGAGATAGAATTGTTTTTCTATTAAAATTTACTCTTTTTTCTCTATACTTGGCCCAATTTTATATATTATTTCAAAGACATTCTTTTTAAGATCAATTCATCAAAACATATGTTTTTGATAAAAAAGAATAAATAATTTATTGTTTTGATAATAAAAATGGTACAAGAACAAATTAAATATGAGTAAAAGGATAAGTACAAAGCGGACTTATCAATCTCCTCACACTTAAACGTTGCTTGCCCTCAAGCAACTCATCATCTACCAACACAAGAATAAAGAAGATTGTTGATTATTTTTTAAAATCCTACTTTCTTGCAATAATCAGTTAATTTCATTAGCATTAATTACTTCATCTTTTTCTTTATATTCTAACAACTAAATATCTCATCACTCATTTCAAAGATTTGACAATGAACTTATTTAAAAGTTTGCGTAAGTAAGTTTTTCTTCAGAGATCCCTTAAGGTCAGTAATTAATAACGATTCGTAGTCTCTTGGTCCACTTATCTCTCTCTTTTTTTTTTGTGAGTTATCCCATAATGCCCTTTTTATTGCTTATTGATTTTTTTTTAATAATAGAAGGGCAGAGCTCCAAAGGAGATAGAATACTCAACGCAGCACATAAGCGCAAACAATTGGAACAATTGTTTGGGTTGTGGGTTTATCCCATTACATATGCATACTTGCTCCCTCGCCTTATGCGATTCACGGGAGAAGCAGAGCTCCTTTCGGAGATAAGATTCCCAATTCGTCACTAAAGCGCAACCCTCACAATTATCTTTGTTTATTTATTTCAATTAAAGAGAAAGTGACCAAAAGACTTATAATTGTTATGTAATTAACAACCTTAAGTTACTCAACTAAAACCCAACTCATGGACAATTTTAAATAAAAGTTCATTGTTAAACTTAGAAATGAGTAAATAATTATTTAATTTATTAGAAAATAAAATAAAAATGTAAAGTAATTGAAAACTAATTCATTAATTGATTATTGATCAAGAAAATAATTTTCTAGAATATAATCATACCTGATATTCTACCTCCTCACACTTAAGCTGGACCTCGTCCTCGAGGTCCAAATGCGAGATGCGAGTAGAAAAATCAAAGTAAGACAATCTTCCTCACACTTAGTGTGAAGCATATGATGAGAGGCTTATTTTTTTGTTTGTTTGTTTGTTTTTTTTTTTTTGTGGTCATAAAAAGTTAAAATTTTTGGCCAAGATTAGAAATAAAGAGTTATATTCAATAGAAAAATAATTCTATCCATTAAAACAATTTCTGGTGCGAAAACTGGCAAGGCTCATTGTGATGGCTTCCGTTCGTTTTCCCTGTAAAAGAAAAGAAAACAACAAAGCAGAGGAAAAAAACAACAAGTGCACAGTGTGTGAATGTGAGAACAAGAACTTGCTAATTTTATTATTATTATTATTATTATTATTATTATTATTATTATTATTATTATTATTATTATTATTATGACGGGTTGCCTCCCGTTAAGCGCTAATTTAACGTCATTAGCTTGACGCCATTATTCTTAAACTTGGTAAAACAAACATATCTAACGGAGCACTCTCCTCGAGAGTCTCCAACTTTTTCCGAATAATCGCCGTAAGGTGGCGCAGACCTAGATATTCGTGAAGCCAAGAAATAGTGAAAATCCTATAAAAAGAACTGATCACCCCCAAGCATAAAAGATATTCTGATAAAGGTACAGGCTTGGGGATGCTCGACCTCACGAAAGGTGGTTCAAAGAGACCCTGTTTTTGAGGAAAAATCTTCGGTGACTCAAGGTCTCTTTGAATGAATTTTTCTAAGGGACTCTCTTCAAGATATACATTCTGGTCAAATTCAATAGAGCCCCCTAAATGATTAATGCCCTCGGACTTTTGTAAAAATTCTACCTTAAGTTCACTTTTATGTTCTCCATTTCCCTCGTTGAGAGACGAACAAACAGGTCCTTGATCGTCTCTTTTCTCTTC